TCTGTGTCTTGGGGTGAACCATTGGAGCGATGTCTCCTGATCAGCTCGGAGGAGTCTACGCTCTGGAGTCTTCCGGCCTGCGATCACAGGACAGATTCCCATTAACTTTCTTCTCTAATGATTCTCAGAATTTTGTAATTTTCATTGTGCAAGTTCTTACACATATTTATACCTGATCGTCATAATTTTGATGGTACTTTACATGATAGCTTCACATCTTCGCTACCTATTCGCTCCTAGCGCCCTCCACAGCCTTGCTACACTTACTAGCGCAAGCGGTGCGCGGCTGCTTCCTGCAGGAGTCACGGCTCGATCTGGAAGCCTTGCGTTTCCGTCCCTTGCAGAGCCGCGTCGTCGAGGACCTCTGCGCCACGCGGAGCAGCGATGAGGGCGGGCTCCGCGTCCAGCACGGATCTGAGCCGCAGCACTCGCTGCCCACTGCCTGGCGCTGTCGGAAGCAGGGCTCCACAGGAAGCGACGGCTTTCGTCAAGTGCTTTTTCTGCACAAGCTGAGGTTGTCACATGCTCTGTTTTTCTCGTTAACGTGGCGAGTTATACTGGTTGGCTTTCAAGTGTAAAATAAACCCTACATATCTGGAATAAGTCTCCCTCGATTGTGTTGTGTCACCTTTTTACATGTTGTTGGGTTAGGCTTGGAAGGGATTATTTAGATTTTCACTTCTTCATCTCTGAAGGATAGAGGTGTGTAATTTCTTTTAATATATTTGTATAGTTTTGAGCTACTAAAACTTATCCAGACTTACTTTATGGCCCACAAATGACCTGTCTTGAGAAGTAATCTGTGTGCTTAAAGAACATGTACTGGTAGTGTGGGGCGTATCATTTTGCAGATATGAATGAGATCAGGCTGACGGGTAGTTTGGATCCAATCTTTCATATCTTTACTGGCATTTATCTATTTCTTTAATCAGTCACTGAGAGAAGGAGGTTAAAAATCTCTGATAGTGATGACCGACTTGGACATTTCTCTCCTTAGAGTTCTCATGTTTTGCTTCTGTCTGAAGTGCAAACAACAGGTCCATAAAAAGATCTCTGTGTTGTCCCGATGAACTGACCCGTGAACTCTGGTGGCAACATGGCTCTCCTGTCTGCCAGGTCCCCTGCACTATTCCCTTCCCTCACTCTGTCTTTTGGGAGGAGTGACAGGTGTGGGTGGCATCAGTCCACCTTCTGCACAGGGCTGACACCAGTGCTGTGGGGCTCTGGTGACCTCAGGCCTAGGTTTGCTGAGCAGGTCCCCCTGGCCCCTCCCTGCCCCCTGCATGCTGCCTGACAGCTCTTTCCCTGCCGGCTTCCTTGTCCCAAGCCCTGCAGGTCCCTGTGCTGCTCCAGTGCAGTTGAGGCAGCAGCTCCCGGGAAGACCTTCTCCCCCCCACACCTTTTCGGGTGCCGTCCCTAGCAGAGCCCCCACTTGCTGTGTGCAGCCAGCCCAGCCTTGAGCCAGCCTCCACATGTGACCCCAGCACCTGACCCTTGTCCCCACACCCTTGGCCTACAGTGGTTTCTCTGCCTCAAGGCCCAACGGCTCATCAAGCTTGCTGGTGGGTCGGAGTTGGCTGGGGAGGTCCCCAGACAGAGTGTTCTGAGCCCACGAGCACTTCTAGGGGGGACTGCAGAATATTCTTCCAGTGTCTTTCTCTGCACGATCTCTCTGAATATTTGGCCCACTTTTCTACTCCATTATGGATAGTCTGTTTTCCCTCTTCCCAATAAAACTGTAAAACTCTACAAGACAGGGGACTTTTATCTTTTTAATGCCAGTGCCATTTTTTGTGAATTAAATCTATTTTTACAATGTTTCCAAAACAAATCAATTGATGGTATTGCCAAGTAATGAATTTTGGCTTCAACCCCCCTGGTGACGCGGCAGACTGGCAGCCTGATGGTGCTCTGTGCCTGGAAGGACTCCAGCCAGTGCTACAGCAGCCAATAAATAAGAAGCTGGGTCCCCCACTAACCAGGCAGAAATAGCGATAAAACTTTGATTTAGCAATCTGTAAGAGCTCAATTAGCGTGCCAGAGCTGGGAGCTGGGCGGTCTGAGAGAAGCCGTGTGATTTTATTCCCTATGGCTTCTGTTATGAAGTAATCAGTGTGAGAGCTTGGAAGATAATAAATTCAGAACATGCCTCTGAGTATGCTAGAGTCAGATTTTTCATGATAGATACCTAGAAAAACATGATTTGTAAATAATTCATTGGAAATGGGTTCTACCTTGAGAAATGATCAGCGGATCAAGCTCAAATTTCCAGCTGAAATATTTAATCACCTGAGCGGAGGGAGGTTCAAGAGTGCCACCCAGATAGATCCCCAGCTGGCCTGGCCAGCAGTGGTGTGGCGGCCCCCGCGCGGGCTCTTCACCCTGTCCTGGCCCTGCTGGTAGGAGATGACCAGGCTTTCTCCTTGTTCAGACATGGAACAGAGAAAATCAAGAGTTCTGGGCTTGCACGTTTCTTTTTTATTCATACAATGGAGAAGCATCTATGCTAACAGGGAAGAAAAACTCCTAAGACAGAAATGCCAGCCAGGGTTCAACTTGTGGATGACCTGTGACGGGTGCACGCACTTGGCTAAGTGGCCTAACAGCCACAGGCTATGTGAGCTCATACCAGGCCACATCAAGAGGGCAAGGGGGTACTGAGAACTACTTTGGGCAGTGGCACAAGCTGGCCCCGTCACAGCAGTCACCCACAGTGTGGGTCATGCTGCCTCACAGGGTCTTACAGACCGCACGATCAAACTCAGCAAGGGAGAAGCCACAGCCAATGGGTGCTGGCTTGCCCTGAGCCAGGGAGGCAAGTGAGGACCCAGGCCACAGGGGAGGGCCCGACACAGCAGCCACCCCACGGGCCCCTTGCAGGCACCTCCAGGCACTGGCCTGAGGTTCCGAGTCAGTGCATCCATCCTGCAGAGGAAGGGCTTCGTGTCTAAGGCCCAGCGGGGTGTTACCTGCTCGCTTTCAGTGTGTCAGTTGGCAACAGCAGCACACAGATGGGTCTCAGGACTCTGCACGTGTCACTCAGCAACTCAGGCCACTGTGCCTTGGGGTGCGTTCTGGCTCAGCTCTAAGTCTGTCCCCAGGGCAGGAGGCTACCTTAATAATGCAGCTAAACTGGAGAAGCTCGCTCTGGTCCAGAACTGACCTCAGGAAGCCAGAATCACCATGAAAGGGAGACCCGGGCAGCGGTGACCCCGAGGGAGGGGTCAGCTCTGCCTCCCAGCCTGGTCTCCTGCCTCTGGTTCTGTAGTGCAGGCAGGCGAGACACCACAATGCTGGGGAAAGGGGCTGGTGAGATGGCTCAGTGGTCTAAAGCACCTACTTAGAACAAGCTTAGCTAAGCACAGGCGACCACGGTTCAATCCCCCAGCACCACATGCCAGCCAGCCCCGCCCTCTGGTGGGCTGAGCTGGCCACACACACACACACACACACACACACACACAATAAATAAATAAACAAATAAATATTTTAAAAAATAAAATAAAATAAACAATGCTGGGGAAAGACATGGTGCCTCATCAGGAAATCCAGGTGCCCCTTTCACTGGGGCTCTGGCTGCCTCCAGAGCTTCCGTGGCTCCCCTCCCCTCCTGTGGCCCTCTGTCTCAGGCTGTGTTCTGATGCTCCCCGCCCGCACCCTCTGGGACAGGATGTGGGCCTTGGGCAGCCTGAGTGGGTGTGCTTTGGGCGCGGTGATGATGACCCCCAGGAAGGAGCAGGGAAGGAGGAGGGAATAAGTGCGTGTGTGTGCGTGCGCGCGTGCGTGTGGGCAGCTGAGCCATCACAGGTCCAGAGGACGAGGGGAAGGTGACGCTCACCTCGCTGTGCACAGAGGGGCTGGCACTGGGTGGTAGAGCAAGCGCATTTGTTCTGGGAGCCTGGAGCCCTCACGCACCTCAAGAATCACGGCACAGCAGAGACACTCAGACGCGTGACCTCACTTCCAGTTTATTTTTGAAAGGAAGTTGCACGAACAATCATGTTTTCATCGCTGCTGCTGCTGTTGCCAGAGCGCCACACAAGCAGCTCCACACTGCTTTCCTTGTGCAGTTCCCACAGCCGCTTCCCAGCCACAGAGAGAGGAAGAGCGACTTCCCCTAGGCCACAGGGCACGGGAGGCAGCAGGGAGCAAGCCTGAGGCACCCCAGGGTCATGCCTGCCTTTCCACCTCAGCGCTCCACAGCCCTGTTACCTGCTGTCTGAGGCTGAAGACCCCACTCTGGGCCACAGAGGGTGAGTTTACAGACCAGGAGACCTGCACCGTAGACAGGCACACCCTGGAGCCGCGCAGGGCTGGGCTTCCATCCATGACCAGGTGGGGTCAGGACTCTGCCATGAGGCACGCTGTGGCAGCACTTCAGGGTAGGGTAAGGGGCACAAGGAGGCCACGCAGGTGTTCCTTCAGCTCTGCTGGTGCCGGGATGCTAATGGGCCCTGCACACCTCCTCCGTGCCAAGTCCTTTAAAGCACGTGACCTTCAGTGCGGGGTTTGTCCTCTGCCTGGCTCAGATACCCATCTTGCCTCTGGTGCCCAGGCCCTGCTGCCCTGTTCACCTCTCCGGGCTGCTCTTCCTGGGAATGAGGGTCTCCACTGAGGAGTGGTCCCAGCATGAAGATTGGGACCCTGGGCACCAACCCTGATTCCAGCGAGGCCAGCCAACACCACCCACTGGCGCTGAGGCCCACTGCCACCCAGAGCCCTTTCCCACCGGGCCCCATGAGTCCTGTCTGTGTGCACAGCAGTGGCTCCCTGAGTGGCACTGTACCAAAGGAGAGCTCCCAAGACCTCTGCCTGAGGCTGTGAGGACACCACGTGGCAGATACCTCAGTATCAGCGAGCGCACACAGCCCTAGGCACGGGGCTGCCTGCAATCAGCCCTCCCTGCGCTGCCCCCAGCAGGGACCCAGGTGAGCAGGTAAGAGGAAGCACAGCCACTGCCCCCCTGGAGAGGGCAAAGGCCACAGCAGGGGCAGGCTCACCTCGGCTGGCGGCTTCTCATGCTCCCTCCTGCGGTGCACGCCCAGGCCTGCAGTGTGGGACAGGGCCTCCAAGTAGGGCCAGTAGCGCTGCAGGGCCTTGGCCAGGACCACATCATCCTCCGGGCTGTACTGCCCCTCCCTGTCTGCATTCTGCTGTGAGGTCCTAAGAAGCAAGGCAAACCACAAGTCAGCTCTGTGCAGTCTGGGGGTGAGCTGCAGGCTGCGGGCAGGAGTGTGGGCTGTGCACCGTGGGCATAGCAGCTCCCCCAGGAATGCAGCCACAAGGTCCACTGTAGCAGCTCACACTCTGGCTCTCCCCGACAGCGGGTTGTTGTCTCAGGGCCCCCGGGCCTCCTGAGGAACTGACAGATGCCCCCAAAGAGCATTCTCCCCGCGGTGTCGTGTTTATTACGTCGCACAGGAAACCAATGTGGCAGCCTGTGTTCCCAAGTCCTGACCACTGCTTCACGAGACAGCATGTCGGCACCTTCCAACTGCACACACATCTAGGCAGAGAGATCTGAGCCCAGGACGCCTGGTCGGGTGCTTTATGGGCGCGATGCACAGGGCTATCGCTGTGGCTGGAGTGGGAGGCGTGGAGATAAAGCTGCAGCCACTGCAGCCCCGGTGCCACCATAGCACAGCCCTTGAGGCCCACACCAGGGGGTACCTGGGGCTGGGGGCAGCGCAGTGTGTCCAGGTGTGAGAGTGAGGAATTGTGCCGATGCTTTCCTGTGAATTATATGCGCTTGACAAACTTCTCAGGGTTGCAGGTGGATGTAACTCATCACAGACTCCCAGGTAAAGTGACTGGGACTCGGGTAGAGCACCCAGAACTCAGGGAAGAGCCAGGGAAGGTGTGTGACATTTGTATATACTAAAATGGTCACCATCATTGGCCAGCAAGGAAACACAAGCAAAAGCACAGTTAGAGTTCGCCAAGTGGAACGGCTACTTCAGTAAATGACAGAGACTCCCGGTACTGGCCAGGGTGTGGAGGCGGGGACGCGGGGCAACATCCCTGGAATGCAAATGAGCACCGTCTCCAGGAAAGAGCGGAGACCACCCCAGGCCTGGAGGACAGACCCACCCTATGCCAGGTGCCTTGCTTCTGGGTGGGTGTACACCCTGGGGAGATCCAATGGGCACAGTAGCGGGCACCTGCACACCCACACTCATTATAGCACTGCTCACAACGGGGAGGTGTGGAGGCCACCGGGAGGTGTGGAGGCCATCAGGGAAACAGAGAAAGGGAGTGTGGGAGACGCTCGCAGCGGACTACCACTCAGCCCCAAAGGAGAAGGCTCTGCCACTCGGGTGAAGATGGAGCTGGAGAACATTACATCACGCGAGATGACCCAGAGAAAGACAGGGACTGCACATTCTCCCCAGGAGAAGCTAAAGAAAGTCACCTTGAGTGTTGCACATGATGACCGGGTGAGAAAGGAGAGCGGACAGGGAGTGCCAGACACCAGCCTCCAAATGCAGACAGAAGGGCAGGTCCCCGTGCTCCAAGGCACGGGGCTGACTGCAGCTCACAACAACCCACCACAAATTTGATGGAAAGTAGAAGAGAGGAGCTTGAAGACTCCAAAGGAGCGAAAAGGACAAGGCCACGCTGACCACCCTGACTGGAGCAGTGCAAGCTGAACATGTGTGCTGAAGTATCACACGCAACCCGTGAATGTGTGTGATTAGTACACGCTACTGAAAAGGTCAGGGTGAGACGTTCCCAATCTTCCTATCTGTACTGAATTATCTTGGTGGATAATCCACCCTTTTATTTCCAGTGAATCCTTTTTATTTCAAAGTCCATTTCTCAGGTGTAAATAGGCATATAATTTATCAGGTGATTCAGGTCTTTATGTTGCCAATCATGACTGCAGTTTCCTCGACCATTTTTAATGGGTAAAATTCTGTGTTCTATGCTATCAGAGTGTAATTTCACTGAACTCAATTTTCTTGTCTGACATTGTTTCTTTTTCTCACTAATTACTAATCAATGCAGATGGAGCCAGCGTACAAATGTGCCTTTACACTGTCTTTCCTCTGCCTCGTCCACACACAGGGACTCTGGAGTGACACAGCGATGCATCACAGTGATGAACGGGCGTACTGCTGCTCTGTGCAGTGCTATAGCAGTTCATTTGCAGAGTGGCTTCTGACTTCTCGTCCTGCTCCAAGTGGGTGCGAACTCCGTAAGGAGCTTCCCCTGCAGGAAGGCAGAAGGCTTTCACACCAAGCGCTCACCACACTCTTCCTGCCCTGGAACGCGCTGGCCTTCAGGCCTCAGCATGTGCAGCGCTTGAAGCTGTCATGCAATTTGTCAGAGGAGAAAATCCTAGCAAGCCTGGTTCTCGCTGCTACTCTCAATCCATTTGTCTTCACTGCAGACTCCAGGCTCCTGACAGCCGCAGGGAGTCATAGGCCCTGTGTGGGGCCAGCCCAGGCCTATCTTGGAGCACTGCACGGGTGGGCTCCCAGTTCACAGCCACCTCGCTGATTCCCATGCTGCAACTCTGTCCAGGTTCTTGTGCAGGCTCACCCCAATCATGGAATAAGAGGGAGGCCAGCTTGGGCCAGCTTGGGGCAGTTGCTGCCTCTTGTCAGTCAGCCCAGGACAGGTAGGGACTCTGAAAACCAAACCCTAATCTCACCCTCACTGCAGAAGGAACCATGGGCTCCAGCCAGTGGTGGGATCTTGCTAAGGCTCAGCAGCCAGGTGTGCAGACTGTCTGTGCCTGGCTCAGGCACCTGCAAGGCTGCCAGATGCAGAGCATTCTGGAACTATGCGAGAAATGAAGGAAGCCAGGGGCCCTGGGCCAGCGCAGGGCCGTGCAATAGCTCAGTTATCAGCCCAGCGCTCATTCTGGCCTTCCCTCAGGTCCTCAATAAATGTTGTCCTGATGCTGGGCTCATGCAGGGGGGGTGAGGCCCCAGGGGAGTGCGGCCAGGAGCAGCCCTGGGAAGGAGCAGGAAGAAAGCGGGTGTGGCCCTCCCCTGGCTTTCAAGGTAGAACCACAACACAAGGATTACTTCCATCACAGCAAAACAAATTTAAAAATAGTGTGAAAACCCAAGAGTGATAAGCACAGACGAGCTTTAAATACTAGAGAAGGTGAAAGCAAGCAAACCAGTCCACAGGAAAGGAGAGGGGGGGACTTGCGGTCAGTGCCCCAGGGCTCCCCATCACAGAGGAAAGAGGACAGAAAAAATGACACTTGTAGTGCAGACAGCCCACTGGACCCACGGAGCACGTCGGGAGCCACTTGGTGTCCTCAGTGCTACCCTGAACACAGAGCTAGCAGGTCAGGTTAGCCAGCCACCACAAAGCAGAGAGGAAGAGGAAATGCCCGTCCTCGTGCTAGAACACAGGCCGTCACCGTAAGGTAGTCAGGTAAGGGAGGCGCCCTCTTGGAGTCTGCAGACAGGGATGAGCTCAGAGAGGAGGAAGCCCACAAAGTGAAGGGTGCCCACAGCAAGCAGAAACCCACAGAACACAGATCTTGCCTGAGAAATTTGAATAAGAAAAGTGTAAGTCAGGACATATGGATTTGGGGTCATATAACTGATGTTTATATTTATACACAACTGCATATGATCTATATTAAGGCTATAAACCATGCACAAAATTCTGTGTGCTGTGAATAGCAAATAGCACAAATACCTTTCTGAATCACACAGTGAAAACGGTAAACGTGTGGCATGAGCTAGGAGCAAAGTAGGTTGAACTTTTCACTAAAACACAATAAAAATTGCTAAGGCACAATGGAGTACTACTCTGCCCCAAAGGACAGACTTGAGTCATTTGTAGATGAGAATATCAGGTGAAGGAAATCAGACAAGTGAGCTTAAATAGCCCACAGTTCCTTCTACGTGGAAATGTGGTATATAAATGAAGTGTGAATAAGAGACAGGTAATAGGGGAGGCAAGGAGGAACAGTGATTGCCGCTCTGCGTGGACAAGCATGCGATGTCTAAAAGCGTGCCTCGGCTTAGTACGATTGCTCTGTGTTTGGGGGCCCGTTCTTCTGGTTGCGATCCCATATTTGGGATAATTAAGTTTATAAGGGCTTACAATGGAATCTGATGCCAGCAAAGTGAAAGGGGGATGGAGTGAACGGGAAGAATGAACTGGGCGCATCACATACCTGAGCCAGTTCTTGACAATGAGTACGGTCATTCTGTGCTGCAAACACACAGTGATAAAAATCAAAAATTTTTGGGCCAGGCAGATAGCTCGGCAGCCTAAGCACCTGCCTGGCAAAGGCGACAGCCCAGGTCCAATCCCCAGGACTGCTGGCCCCAGAACCTGGGCGTGGTAGTGCATGCCGTAACCCCAGCACTGGTGGGGCTGAAACAGGAGGTCACCACAAGTCCAAGCTGTGTAGCAAGACCCTGAGCCAAATGAATAGATAAATACAAGACTTGTTAAAAATTTAAATTTTTCTAAATAAAAACAAAGACTGTCAGTAACATCTAAATATGGAAATATTCATACATATTTATTATTTCAAAGGGCTATAAAATGAAAATTTTGGAATATTAAGAATAAGTGAGGACACATCCAAGCTATAAAATGACACCAAAACTATGTTAAAGGCTGACAGACTTAAGTGACTTCGTTATTTTAGAAAATGAGCAAATAAAGATGTGAACAGAATGTTCAAGCCAAGAAGTTTTATAAAGAAATACTAAATTTGAGGATAGCAAAAAGAAAAAGAAAACCAAGGCATTATTTCTTAAATTATATTAAGTTTTTAAAATGAAAACTTAAAATGGCAAAGAGATCATAACTACACATATGCTGAACAATTTTAAAGTATAATAGGATTGATACATATGATACACATGTACTAATAAAAATAAAACCAAAAGAATTTAATTAAACTAGCACAGGATAGCAAGTGCGACACTAGGTCAAGAACCCTGGAAGTCTCCATGGAAGGAATAACTTCCCGCAAATATGAAAGCATCCCAAAGTTACAGAACAAAAACTGGGAGTACGTTTTAGAGAAATCTGTGATGAGGCTTGCCTATGAAGATTGTTTTTAAATATGTACCAGGGAGCAGATCATTTCAATAATTTAAAAAGTTTTGAGGAATTTCAGGAAAAGACTGGGGTCCTAGCCGCGGACGCTGTGCAGGGAGGCGAGGGCAGCGGGGGAAGAGAGCCACTGGGCTTCCCAGCAGGCGGCTGGCTGTGGCCTCCCTGGACACGCGGGTGGCTCTGATGCAGAGGACCAGCCCGAAACAGGCCACCAGGCCACAGTGGCCCAGAGGGAGCCGAGAGAGGGAAGTGATCTTCACACCCTGGGGAGGACACAGCCCCTGCCTGGACCTGAGAGCCAGACAGAGAGAGCTCAGGTCGTGCAGGCCGTGGAGCCCAGCTGGCTGAGGCTGCCGGGGGCCTACGGCCCGCCTGCCGCCCTCTCAGGGAGGCCCGGTCCTCAGAGCTGCTGGCAGCGCCGCAGGCTCCACCCTCACCACTGCCCCCGGCAGAGCGGAGCGCTCTGGGCTGTCACTCGCAGCCGTGCCTAGTGTGTCCCACACACAGATGGACAAAAACACCTCTGTATGATGCTACGAATGAGTCACTGGCCTTAAATCCTGAAGGAAACAAACAGAAAAATGTGAGATGTGGTTTTCACAGGGACAGTGACATACACAGAACACATGGAGACCACACAGCAGACACCCACCAAGGATACCTCTGTGTTCATGGAGTTATACTTTTCATCTCATTTGCAATTAAAATAAAGGCAAAGCTAAACTATAACACTCACAGCAAAGCCATAAAAAGTGCCTGTGCTCCACTGTCTCTCAGTGGCAGTGGCACAGGGCAGAAGGGCCACCGCACCACGCCATGGGCTTGCAGGGTGGGGGCACCACGGCCAGTGGTGCTCTTCCTTGAGGCCCTCCTGCACTCCCGCGTTCTGCCTCAGAGGACAGAGGGTCCTCACTCCCCAGAGAGCCACCATGCCTGATGTATGGCTGGGTGGGAGCAGAGTGCACGTCACCTGGACACGTACCTGGCTGGGCCGGGAGTTTCCATGCGCTGGGGGTGGGCTCTGGGGAGGCCTGCGAGCTCCTGGGCCATGATGTGTTGGGTGTGGTCATCCTGCCACGTGAAACCTGCAGGGAGAGGGGCATAGCCATGACCACTGGGAAGGTGGGCCAGGTCTTGCTTCAGTCTCCCATTCAGGGTGTTTTCCTGCGTACCGATGATTCCACCCACATCCCAGAGCGACCTCGTTGAGGATCACATCAGAGAGTCCTCACAGAAAATCTGGCTTCCTTTACTTTAAGACCAGAAAGGCCCTCAGTGACTTGCGAAAGCATCCCGTGTGCTGCTGTCAGCGGCTGCAAGGACGCTTGGAGTTGGGAACCCAGCTCCAGCCACGAGCACAGAAGCGGGGCCCGCTCGCAGCAGCCAGCCAGGAGCGTGCATCCTTGCCCGGGATCCCTGCCACGCGGCGCCTGGCTCACCCAGCCCGGTGCTGCTAGGGAGCCCGGCACTTGGGTGGAATAAAAGGTGCTGTTCCTGTGAAGCAATTACTTGGGGCTTAATGTACTGTATCTGGGAGCCAATTACACTATATTTACACTCAAATGTTATGACAAAGAGCTTTAGAACAAGGGTGAAGCAGTTATGAAGGCAGGATTCATGCGATTATACATTAATTACATGCACTGTGGATCACATGGTAATTACGCTCAGAATTACCAACTAACTCCCAAGAATAATTATTATGCAATTTGTACATTTCAGATCTTATGGTAACACTTTCGCACCAAGAACTACCCCATGCAATTATCCACAATTATCTAATCACTAAATATCACGTAATTACAGAGGTATATTTTTATGCCCTGTACAAAAACACATTACCAAAAACCTTCCAATCAGGATAGCCCTGCGTGGGGAGGGGGGAGAGCGGGGGTCCAGACTATTCTGGATGGAATTAAAGGAGTACTCGGTAGACACAAGCGGGCCCCACAGATACACCTAAGAGGTTTTCATGCAAATCTAAACTTCTTGTTTGAAGTTTGGCGGTAGGAGGACTCACAGCGACCGACCGACCGCACTCCTGAGCCCAGGGGCCCAGACACGTGATTGGAAAGGCAAGCCCATCCCAGATCCTCCTGAATGGCCCCTTTAAGTGTGACAGTGAAGAGCCAGTCACTGCGGGCGACAGCGTCACAGCCACTGCTGCCCTGGCTCAGGGCTAAGCGTGCCTCATTACGAGCAAGTCCACCTCGGCCCACTTGCGCAAAGCACACTCGCGAACACTCGCTCCGCGGCTGCTGCCGGCCTGTCCCAGGACCATTCTCGGTGGAAGGCACTTCTGCAGCGTTAGCACAACGGCCAGCATTCTGCATGGAAAAAAAAAGCCTACTTTAAGCACGCCGTTCCCCAATGATAGCCTTCTATTAATATTTATCAGGGAACAGAAAACCAAGGGCACAGAGGGAACTTTCCGTGCAAACATTTTCATTTATAAAATTTAGATACCTGAAATTCAATAACATTTTCTGCCTAAAGAGCACAAAGCCCTGAGCCATGTAATTCTGGGGATGAGATAAGGGCTCTGTTCTGGACCACAGCTGGCTGACAAGAAGGGCTGCTGCGTAAGTGGGCTGCGGAGGACCGCTGGCCCCACAGCCCTGATTGCTGTCAGGGAACAGGAAGGAGCAAAGATCAGGGCTCTGAATCCCTGTGGACATCTCCTGAGGTAGGTCTCAGAGGAGACGAGGCCCGAAGGAGAGGTCTGGCTTCTGCAAAGGGGAAGAAGTCACGCTTTGTCCTGTTCCCCTCCTGCATGCAATTAGAAGCCCCTGATTGAGGGCAAATGGAAGACTCCAAGGAAGGAGGGGAGGTGGGAGACGGAGCCTGGCCGGGAGTGGCCTGGGCTTCCCTCTGCCTCGCACCCACCCTTGGAGCCTGCAAAGCCAGAAATGCAGAAACATCAAACCAGCAGACATGAAGCCCAGACCCAGATGCACTCCCAGCTGGAGGGCCAGGAAGGCGGGCAAGGCCCAACAATGGCAGACACCCGGACAGGTGCCCCCCGCCAGCAATGCCGGAAGCCCCTAGGACTCCCTCCTCCTCAGATGCAGCGAGGCTGAGTAGGGAGTCAGGAGCTCACCGCCTGAGACCAGACCTCCCTCCCTCTGCTGTCCTCAGGTGTGGGCAGAGGTTGAGGGCAGAGGGACTTCTGCTGCACCTGTCACACAGCAGCACCCCACCCCCTCTAGCAGAACCGCACAGAAAAGTCAGACCAAGCACAAGGTTTCAGCACGTGGGAGCTTCACTCCCAGCATCCAGAGGCAGAGAAGGGAGGGCACTGAAGGGCTCCCCAGAGCTCACTTGGACACTCCCTGCCACAGCACTCCTCCAAGCAAGGCGACCTCCATCTAAAGAACTTGCTTTTGTTCTTGTTGATCTTTTAAAGGACTAATGGAGACCTTTAAAAGGAAAAAGACAAAGAATTCATGCAGAAAGTGACTACAACTTAATGCTATGATTCCTTTTAGAAATTCGGCCCCACAGAGCTAGCAGTCACCCCACACATCCCAAGTTGGTGAGTCAGGGTAACAAGACAAAGAACACAGGTTAGCAGTGGTGCTCCCAAAAGCTTGTTCTCCCAGGAGGGTGGGAAACATTTTAAGATGCAGGAGGAGGTGAAGCCTCAGGGCAGGGCCACAGGTGGGAGATGCCTGCCAGGTGGTCCCGGGTGTGGAGCAGCAGCAGTCCTCGCTGGCACTAGGCAACTCAAGAGGAGGAACAGGCCAACTCGAAGTGTGATCCACGTGGTGCCTGCCACTTCTGCTCAGGACTCCTGGCCCACAGTGAGCCTGGGGCGAGAGACCACCATCAGACACCGGTGAGAAAGGGAGCAGATCCCAGGCGTGTGGCTGGCCAGCAGTCACCAGGTTGGAAGGTTCCCGAGTAAAGGGGGGCTCCTTTGTGAGGGAGTCTGCAAGGGCAGGGCGGAGAAAGGAGGAAGGCTCCCCAAGCACTCAGCGCCTCCAAGACCCATCCCTCCCGTTCTGTCCACAGTGCATGCCCCCTGTGCCCCAGACAGGCCCCTCTAGACACCTCACAGAGTCAGCAATGAGGGACACTGCAGCCCGCTTTTCCAGGCAGTGCACAGAAGGGCTGAGCATGCTGTGCCAGGGACAGTCCCACATCTGGTGGGGGCAGGGATCGGGGACAGAGGACTGTGTGTGTTTTCAATTGCTTGCTCACAGGCCACGGCCCAGACTGGTGCAGGAGGTAAGGTAAAGTACGGTTGTCACCACAGTTTGGATTGTTACTGAGATGACGAAGCTTTAATGTGAATACAACTTTTTACTTCCAAAGTTAAAGCACTGGACATTTCCTTGAAAATAGGAGGAAATGAGGGAGAGGTTAATGTGCTTTTGAGACAGAAGCCTAAGCAAGGGCCATGCTCATACACTGCAGGCGGGAACGTGGTGGGCATTAGGGGGCATGGCCCGGCAGTGGAGAACCAGTCTTCTCTGGCAGACCCGCACCCTGGAGCTGCACATGGAGGCTTGCTGGAGAACGCTGCCACCTTCCCAGGGGCCCTCCGTAAAGACACAAACCGAGCCCCCACCGTAACCGTGCTAACAGCGGGCAGCTAAGCTGCAGGCCAGGGGTGATTCCCAGGACGGCCAGCGCTGCCAACAGGAAGCTCGTGGGGGCAGTGCTCTTTTTTTCTCCAGGGACTCCAGAGAAGGGCGTTTATGGGGGCACAGATTTTATAATGCCCACCATGAATTCAGAATTTTCAAAGCATTGTTTAAGACTGAATGACCAAAACACACATGAAAACGCACTACACAGCCGCAAACATGCACATACAACACGCACACACCACCAGGCATGGACCACGTGCTCAAGTAACCACACACATCACTGTGGAAAGAACACGCGAGTGTTAAAGAGAAAGGCAAGAGCTCTGGAAAGAGAAGTTGATCTTCTATGTTGAACCTTAAACCTAATTCTGGCTTCTACCCGCTTGTGTTTCTTGAAATGATGCAAAATATGTTTATATTCTGAGCTACAGTCTTGGTGTTTCAAATTGACACGACTGATGTTTAGCACTATATCATTTTCAACCAGTTATAAATTTGCCTTAATAACTGTATTTACATAAAAGACAATTTCAATAGCTCTCCTAGCTGTGGCAAAAATACCAACAATTCATTTATTCTTAAAGTGCTTTGGGAATTTTTTTCTCAAAAGAAAAAGAAGCCAAATCATTGACAGGGAATCAACTACAGGTTTAACTCGACTATAAGAAGTACAGAGATTAAAGCTCTTTGAAATCACGGAGGAAGTGGCATGAAAAGATAACGTGGGAACAACTCCCTCCTGGGGCGGGACTTCAAGCGCTGAGCCCGGCCGAGAGCCTGCGCACCATGGGCCACAGCCCCGGACCACAGCCCTGGAGTGGGAGGAGTGGCGGAGTGCCGCTCCTGTCTCAGAGAACAGAACGACAGCGCGGAGACAAGGGAGACGCCTGGTGTCGTGCTGGGCCCTGGACTCTCGGGCATCGGGGACTGGACTGAACATTGTAGCCTTCCTCCCAGAATGACACCCGGTGGCTCCCACCTGCCCACGGAGGCCCAGCATGCACACCCCCGGGTCCAACGAAGAAAAGCTCAAAAACCAGCGTGGTGACCAAAGCCTCCACGTGCTTGCCTGCAGGACCTCGAGACCACATGCATAAAATGCACTCCCAGGACAGGAGAGCACGTGTACACCCCAGCAGCAGATCAGCAGCAGGCTCAGGACGGGTCACAGGCCAGACTCCCCCTCCTCTCACAGGACACTCCCACCTCCCCTGAGAATAAAAGGTCAGTGGAAGAGAAGGTCTCCCTGCATCAGCCCGAGAGCCAGCCTCTCGGTTGCCATGGTGACTCAGGTCATCCCCAGTGGCTGTGGAGGGGGCATTCAGCTAGCAGCGCACTGCGGCCTGACAGGTTTTCATTGTCACCTCTACTGCGGGAAATCAGAGCAATAACAGCAGCTCACACCACACTATCTCGTAAGCCTCTCGGTGCCAATTACTTGGAGGAAAAACAAAATCATCCCTGTGCCTCTGGGTGGAAAGTGGTGTTAC